TCTACTTTCTCATTGGTGGAGTAGGGGTTGGTTAAGTTACTCTTTTGTGAATTAGGCGCTAGATTGTCAGTGTCTATAGGGGTCACGTTAGGGGGTAAAATAGCTGGGTAGGCTACTGTACTTGCCACATTATACATTTTCTTGGGGGTTACATATGGGGAATTAATTGTTATGAATTTTTTTTTGGTTTCTTTTTCAATTATTTTATCTTTATTAATGACATCATAGTTAATGACGTGAGCAGTATGGTGTTTGGGGGGATTGTGGGTATGTTCCTGGAGTCGAGCTCCAAGAACGTTAGTATAATTATTGTTAGTACCAGATTGGGTTGTCGATCTATATTATCATTAAGAGAGGTGTTTTTTTTGTATTTAAAAATCTTAGATTCAAGATACTTACATGTACTGGCTTCAAATAATTTAACGCTAATACCTGGTTCGTCATTGATTTTTTCCGGCGTTCTTTTGTTCTCCTTCTTCTGCCTATTGAAGGTTACTGTTTGCCATTTCTCTTTTGGATCTGCCATATAAGGAGTTGACGTCTGCACATCGGAACCTCTTGCATTGTCGCCTTGCCTTATTTCCATAGCTTGCATATTTTGTTGATTTGTCTGTGGCACCACACAGTTTATGGCGTTATGTCCCAGGACTCCACATCTATTGCAGAAGATGTCGGATCCCTCATAGATGATAGGTTGCTTGTGTTGTCCTATGTGAACAGATTTTTTAACCGGAACACCCATGGAAACTTCAACACATATGAGTGCATACCGACCTCTCAATGTAAATGAGGTGCATACATCCGTCTTAACTAATTTCCCTAGCCTTTTCCCGACGCGTGCTAGAATCGAGTGGTCATAAAATTCTATCGGTAATTTCGGTAGTCTTATCCAAATGGCTGAAATATTTTCTCTAGCTTCTGAGGCCACGAAATTTGGGTGCTATCTTTTAACCGATAAATAATAACCGTTAATGAACCAAAGACCTTGTTGTAGGGTGCGTTGCATATTCTCTTCTTTGTAGAATTTAACTATGCAATAATTGTGTGTTAAATTAGGTCTTAGGCCTAACTCACACCTCAAAAGCTAGCTCAAAGGAAGGAGGATTGCCCAAGCCTTATAAGGAGTCCACCCATCTCATTAACCACTAATGTGGGACTTTTGTCATTCTTTAACACCCCACCTCATGCCCAGTGCTTAGCATCTAGTGCGCGAACAATTTTGATTTTTGGGGGCCCCAACATCGGGTGGCATGAGCCCTGCTCTGATACAATATTAAATTAGGTTTTAGGCCTAACTCACACCCTAAAAGCTAGCTCAAAGGAAGGAGGATTGCCCAAGCCTGATAAATTGTAGAGAAAACAGTGATGAAGAATGAATCTAGACAAGAGGTGCATGAAGATACATGGGAGAAAAATTAAAGAAAATTCTCATTATCATTCAAAACATCTATTATCTAGATTCATTCTTCATCACTGTTTTCTCTACAATTTATCATGGTATCAAAGCTTTGTATTCGATTTAGCAGAGATCTGATTTTTCCTCTTTGATTCGACTGCACTTTGTTAGTGTAATTTCTGTAATTTGCGCTTCCTCGAAGATATCTTCAATGGCAGGTGAAGATCAGTCTGTTGATGCACCACCAGTGGCTCGTGGACTTGAGATTGATCACAATCATCCTTTATTTCTTCAACCAAGTGATACCCCTGGTAGTTCTCTGGTCTCGATTCAACTCACGGACCAGGAGAACTACACTATCTGGAGTAGATCGATACGTCTGGGCTTGCTAGGGAAAAGTAAATTGGGATTCGTTGATGGTAAGCATCCTAGAGAATTTTTTCCTCATTCTCTTCCTGATCTATGGGAAAAGTGTAACACCATAGTTCTCTCCTGGATCATCAATTCTATCAGAAAAGACATCCTAAGCAGTGTAATTTATGTTTCGAATGAGTCCAAAGTATGGATAGATCTAAAGGAACGCTTTGATAAGGTTGATGGATCCAGAATTCATTTTCTCTATAAGGAAATTCGTACAATGTCTCAGGGCACTTCCACTGTATCTAGCTATTATTCTAGATTACATGAGCGTTGGGATGAATTTGATGCAATTATGCCATGTCCAGGGTGCAATTGTCCAAAGTCCAGGACATATGTACATCACTTTGAATATCAGAGACTGCTTCGGTTTTTGACTGGTCTAAATGACTCATATGCTCAGAGTCGTAGTCAGATCCTCATGATTACTCCAACACCTTCCATTAATCAAGCCTACTCCATGTTGCATTCTATAGCAACAAAGGCAATCACAAACCTGGATCTAGCTCCGGCAATGCTTCCTACAAGCCTGGTACTAGTTACGGTGGAGGTACTGGTTCCAATTCAGGTGGTGGTTTTAGCTCTGGTTCAGGTATGGCTACTGGATCTGACTCAAATTTCAAGTCTAAAAAGAGTAATCAACATTTATACTGTAACTATTGTCACCACACTGGCCATACTAGTGGCAACTGTTACAGACTACATGGCTACCCAGCTAATTTCAAGCACAACTTCAAGAAGAAGTTCAGTAACAATTCTGAAGGATGAGGTGCTGCAAACTATGCTGCTGGTGAATATGGATCTCAATGGAACATGAATTCTTCCTTTGATCCTGGTAGTTATGCTGGAAGTTCCACAATGCATCTAGGGGACAGGAAAATCCTGGTGTTAGCTCTGCAGATCATCTTGGAAAAAAATCATCACAGATACTGACCTCATATGGAACACATGCAAATGTACCCACCTTTACTCCTGAGCAGTATCATCAAATCCTGCATATGCTTGACTAAGGGAATGATGGTAATGGTACAGCTCTATCAGCATGTATGTCTAGTTATAACACATCTCATGTTGGTGTTGTTAACTGGATAGTGGATACATGGGACACTCATCACATGGTCCATAGTCCTAGGATTTTATCTGATGTTAAGCACATCTCTAATCCTAATTCCGGTAATGTTTTTCTACATACTGGTGGTGTTACATAGGCCTAACTCACACCCCAAAAGCTAGCTCAAAGGAAGGAGGATTGCCCAAGCTTTATAAGGAGTCCACCCATCTCATTAACCACCGATGTGGGACTTTTGTCATTCTTTAACATCGTGGCCCAAATCTATTAAAATGATCTCTTCTGAGGCCCTCCACAATTGGGCGAGTCTCTTCTTCAGGTATTGGTGGCTAATTTTTTTTCCCAGTAGCTTGATAATGATGGAGTATGCCCAGGGCCGATAAATTCTTTTTTTCTCCTCCTCGGATAGTAAGATGCAGTTGCCTTCTTCCTCCTCCCCTTCAGTATTGGTTGTATGTTCTCCTTCGTCCAGTTTGCTAATACTACCGCTCGGTTCGTCCAAGATCATGTCGGCTATATGGTCCGAACATTGCTTGGTTTCCCCACCTTGTATCGACACTGGAGCAAGTAGAATATTCTTGAAAGTTATTGTTCTCCCATTAGTTGGACCTTGGCTTGGGGTCACATTAATCCCTATTTTGTCTGGTGGAACTGGTGGATTTAATATTGCTTGGCTTTGAGACATATTGATGGTGTATTTTGAGTTTTTAGTGAGAAGTTGGAGCTTCTCTCTAGTGAACTAGTGCTTGCATGATCATGTTATGTTGATAACATGGTCCTTCTTTAACTCATAACTAAATATTCTTTAAAGTTTTTACTTGATTAGTTAATTTTTTTGTTTTGTTTTTGTTGTTGTTGTTGTAAGGTTAACTTATCATGTTTTCAGGCCAGGATATTTTTGAAAATAAAAATAGAAAAGAAAATTAACATATACATATATACTACTCAAGAAATTATGTATATATAATTTTGTAGCTATGTTATTCAACTTTTATTAATTATAATGATAAGACATGATAAATGTAAAGTTAATTTGTAATTTAAAAAGGACCTAAAATATCCTTGACGTATTCGAAATGGTACAAAACTACATTTCATCCACTTTTTGGCTCTAAAATACCCTTGATTATAGTTAAAATACCTGGTACCTATATGGGTCCGCCCCTGCCCACGACAGTTGCAATCGAAATATTACACATACAAATATAATTTGCATCGGAGTAACGCTTTAGTTTCTTGGTTGAAGCTGGACAAGTTGGGTTAATTGTTACGACCCATTATTTATTTACTTATTTATCTTGATCTAGTTCATTTCAGTTCAAGCAATCTTTATGCAAATTAATAATCAATTCGTTTATTTGGCCCATCACCTAAATTTATTTCCATTTAACGCATTGTGTAGTAGATTGTAAATTGTAATCGAAGTGGTGCTATTGAAGCTGCAGCAGCTCCCCAAAACCACAGACGTGCGACAACAGGGGAAGCTAAAATCGGAATCGACGCCTGTTCCACATGCAATTTTTCTAACGCTAATTCCGCCTTCACATGTAATTACTGTATTTTGATTACTCTGTTTCAATATTCTTAAAAAATAATTATCTAAATTCCCATTTCAATATTTTTTAAATATTACTATTAATCAAAGTCAAAGTGCTTAAACTTTTCTAATTGCTCAAGCAATCATATTAATAAATCCTACGTTACATGTTAAGTGACAGCTCAAGCATTAATCATATTCCCATTTGCACCCTCTCTTGTTGCAATAGCAAAGAAGAGACAAGTCGGTGACATATATTATTTTCTTAAGTAGGAGAGAACGCGGGAAACGGAGAAGGAGTAGACGCGGAGCTAGAAGTTTGGATACAGATTCAGTCGAACTCAGTAACTTTTGTTCAAATAATATAACTAAATGTGTATAAATATTAACTTTAGAACTCAATTATTGACACTTGAATCGTTGTTATAAAATTCAGAATACACCAGATTAAAATTCTGACTTCGCCTTTAAAAAAAAGGAGGAAGGAATGAAATATAATTAATTTATAAGCGTGTATCAAGTCTTTAAAAGCCAAAGTTTTGGATACTAAATGTTGCATGTTGGAGAAGCTTTATATTTTTGTAACTAAAGAAACAAAACAAGAACATATCTAAAGTTCATCAAGAGCTTGAAGATGACAACGGTAATCACTATCTCCTCTATCTTTAATTTTTCTCTATAATCTATATATAATTCAATCGTAACGAAAGATTTTGAACCAATTTTATATGCCTTAATAAGTACTATGTTTTGGTTGAGTACAGATGACAGAGATGAGAGTACATATGGATTGTGCCGGATGTGAGAGCAAGGTCAGAAAATCTCTCGAGAAAGTTAAAGGTAATATACTTATATGCACTATAGACAATAGATTCGATCTCAAAACTTCTGTCTGCTCTGATACCATGTTGAAATAGTTTAAGCGGTTAGAGCACACATTTATTCGTTAATTATATTCTCCACATACTTTTTGATGTCAAATTCAGGTGTTGATAATGTAGAAATAGATATGGCTATGCAAAAAGTGACAGTAACAGGATGGGCTGATCAAAAGAAAATACTCAAAACAGTTAGAAGAACTGGTAAAAGAGCTGAAATATGGCAATTTCCTCATAATCCTGAGATGAGAAATAACCCTAGTTATGTCACTGATCATTATTATCAACAACAAGGCTGCAGTGGTCCGGCCACTTATTACGCCGGAGAACCACCGGTTTCCGCCTATAACTATCGCAAACACGGCTACGATAACTATGGCCGTGCCTATAGTCTTTACAGGGGCAATTCAAACACATTTGGTAGTCGTGTTGGTGATGCATTTAGTGATGAGAATCCTCGTGGTTGTAATATTATGTAATATTGTTGTTTGATGTTTTATTTTTTTTTGAGTATCTTATATATAAATTCAATTATTAAGTGTAAGAGCCCGTTTGGATTAATTTAAAAAAATAGTTTTTAAATTAAAAATAAAAAGTCAAACTTAAATGACACACTCCATATACGCTTCAATATTCCATGTTTCCTTGTATGTACATAAATTGTTACCACATTCTCATTTTTGTGGATGAAATTTGAATACTTAATTTAATACGCTCACACCTAATTACCGTTTCGTAGTCTCTTCTGGCAGTTAGCCTTTTTGAAAAAATGAAAAATTTAAGGAGTGTAATCACCCACAAATATAAGTATGCGGGATGATTAACTAATAAAAAATTTATTGATTGTATTTATAGGTTCGATTGAATAAGAGACTAGATGATTATCACCATGCACATACCGAAGAGCATGCTACTTTCATGTAGACTTAATTATTATAAATTAGGATACTAGTGAAATGGTATTAATGAAAGGTAATTTGTATTTCTTTGCATATATCCGAGATCTAAATGTTGATTCAAGTGTTAGTGCAAGTTCTCGATGACAATAATAAAGAATTTTGTAAAAGACATTTGGATAATATTTCACGGTTATATAAATCTCAAAATAGACATACACGTGCAATAATAAATATACACACGTACAACAACAGACATACAAATATAACGCACGAATCTAATAAAGGTAATTAAAAAGCTACAAAGATTGACATTAAGAATATTTTGGGCCAATAGATCAATAAAGGGTATTTTTCTAGTAAGTTTTTAACCTTTTTTGTTCCCGGAAGTACCACATTGTACTCCAAAAAGTTAGTGTTAAGCTGGAAATATAATGGAGATATGAAGCTGCACAAATAAATTAGCAGCAGATTTAGGGTTCAACCAGGAAGGTGTAGAAGAGTGGAGTTTGTTTAGCTATCGAAGAACAGAGAAATTCAATTCAGTTGAACAGATTCGCCGCCGGAGAGAAATGTCGGATTATATGCCAAAATAATTGATGATTAAGATCTTCACAAGATTACCAATCAAATCAATCCTTCGATGCACAAGTGTTAGCAAGTCATGGTATTCTCTTCTTACTAGCCCTAATTTTATCTCTACGCATCTTAATCGAAACAATATGATCACATTCTGATTCAAAATTACTCTGGAAACACAGAAATTGATATTTATGCTTTGTTCCGTTACAATGATTAAGTGGGAATGGAATACTTAATTTAATACGTTTACACCTAATTATCACTTCTTGTTAGTTTCTTTCCAAAAATTCAAAAAATTAAAAATTCAAGGTGTCTAAGTGCCCACAAAGTAAGTATGCACTGCATGATTAGCTAATGGAAAGTTCATTGGCTGTATTCATAGGTTCGGTTGAATAAGAGATGAGATGATCATCACCATGTAAATACCGTAGAACATGCTACTTTCATGTAGACTTAAACTATTAAAAATTAGGATACAAGTGACTTGGTACTATTGAAAGGTACTTGTATTTCTTTACATATATCCGAGACCCAAATGTTGATTCGAGCTTAGCAACTTACAAATTATATAAAGTGTCGGTGTCACGTTATTTCACGGTTACGTGGATATCAAGAATAGACATAACGTGCTTTGCAAGTGCGGTGAATCTAATAAAGGTAATAAAAGGATACAAAGATTGATGTCAAAAATATTTTGGGGCCAATAGATCAATAAAGGATATTTCTCTATCAGTTTTAACCTTTTTTGTTCCCGAAAGTACCACATTGTACTTCAAAAAAGTTTTGTGTTAAACTAGAAATAGATAATCGAGATATGAAGCTGCACAAATAAATTAGCAGCAGATTTTAGGGTGGGTTCAACCATGAAGGTGTAGAAGAGTGGAGTTAGTTTTTTTTAGCTCTCGAAGAACAGAGAAATTCAATTCAGTTGAACAGATTCGCCGCGGGAGAGAAATGTCGGATTATGTGCCAAAAGACTTGATGATTAAGATCTTCACAAGGTTACCAATCAAATCAATCCTTCGATGCAGAAGTGTTTGCAAGTCATGGTACTCTCACTAGCCCTAATTTTATCTCTACGCATCTCAATCAGAAACAAGATGATCACATCCTGATTCAAAATTACTCTGGAAACACAGAAATAGATATTTATGCTTTATTCCGTTATAATGAGAAATTGGATCAAAATAACCACTTAGATTTTTCATTTAAGTGCAGTAACGGTGTCGTAACTATTGTGGGTAGTTGTAATGGGATTGTGTGCCTTGCTGCTGCCGACCAATTGAATTACTTGAATCATTTCTACTTTTGGAACCCATCTATCAGAAAGCCTGTAGAACTCCCAGAACAAATTTATACATGTGAGAAATGTGATACATATGCTTATGCGTTGGGGTTTGGTTTTGATCATGTTACCAATGACTACAAGGTGGTAAGAGTAGTAGACACTTCGTCTCATCCGTTGCCACCTCATGTTGATCTTTATAAGTTAAGTACTGGTGTTTGGGAAGACATTAGCCATGTCTCTCTGTCTTACCTATTCCTTGCCACTACATCACAGGCGTATGTGAATGGAGCTTCTCATTGGATTGCTTCCAAATGGGATGTATTATCATTTGTGAATGTGATTGTTTTATTCAACATGCATGATGAGACATTCTTAGAGATGATATTGCCGAGTAGTTTAATCAATGAGTCACGATCACACTATGATGAAATGTTCCTTTTTGTGTCAGAGGAATCTCTTTGTTTGGTTGATAATAACTATGACAAATGTGAACCTATTGATATTTGGATGATGAAAGAGTATGGTGCACCAGACTCATGGGTGAAACAGTTCAGCATCCAAAATAATCAGTTTGCACAACATATTCCTCTTCGTGATGACATTTTCTGGACACCTTATTCTGGAAGCGCTGCTCGAACTGAGCTTGAGATTGCTAATGAATTTCTGAAGCCAATGGCTATAAGGAAAAATGGTGAAATCTTATGGGAAGGTAACCGAAGATTATTGGTTTCAGTTGATCATACAGGTGAAAGGTTTAAAGATGCTGACATTGGTAACTCATCAAATGATTGGTGTTACAATCCACGTTATGTTAATTATTACAAAGAGAGCCTTGTTTTACCTGATAGATGGACAAATAATTGTGTTGGAGATGCTTGTGAGGAGTCATCCAATTTATGGAAGCGAGAGCCCAAAGATAGGAAAAGAAGGATCTCAAGGGAAAAATCTAAATATAGAATGCGGATTGCACCTCTTTTGCACATGAGTGGATTGCTTTACGTGTCAAAAATGAAAGGGAAATGGTTGCGGAAGAAAGGAAGGAAGATCAAGCAAGTCAAAGATCCTTCATCCAATTAATTAGCTATGTTGCACTTGAAGTCCTTTAGCTCAGTAAGTTTTTGATTGAAGTTAGTTCACTGAAGTTTAGGTGTTGATCCCTTAGGCATATGCCAACTTATTTTCTCTTAAAAGTCTTCTCAATTTCATGCAAACATTACATTATTTTGCAGGGTTCAGTCTCACAATGAAGACCTCTTTTGATGTATTGGAAGGTCAAAGTTTCCATGAGCCAGAAGTGTATGGCATATTTAATACTCTAGGGTACTGAAACTCTTTGTTCTAAAGACAGACTGTAAATACTTGTCTTAATTACTTTCTTGATAGATGTTTGGTGCATGATACTTCTAAGGGTTGTGTGTTTATCTATCTAATGTTTGGTGCATGATACTTCTAAGGTTTGTGTGTTTATATATCTATCTAATGTTTGGTGCATGATACTTCAAGGTTTGTGTGTTTATCTTGGCACCTTGGTTTTTTTAGTATACTAGAAAACTTTTACATCGTCTATTTACTGAAATTGGATTTGTTAGAGGATATCTGTTGTGTTTCCCCCTTGGGTAGCACCCGTAGCATAGCTGTTATTACTCCAAAACAACCAAACAGTATATGCTGGAACAGTCTTTCAGGTTATCTTCAAATGCCTTGTGATCCTTCTTCCTTCACCGCAACATAACGGTTATTTTAGGGATATAGGCATAACTCACACAGTCTAATAAACCGTAATCACAGATCCAACAATTGCCTGTCACTACATAAATTGAAGTGCACATTTGCTCTTGGGTGCTAAACTTTTGGATTAAGAATGGTAGAATAGTCTTGGATTGTGGTTTGCAGACTAACTGATTACTGTTTCTAGCCAATTTTTTCGGTAGTAATTCTAAAGACCACTTATGAACTGAATTTAGTTGTCATGATCACATGCCTTTCTTTCTATTTTGTTGATCTTACAACAAGTTGTGATGGGCTTATCCTCTCTGGTTCCTTCATCTTCCTCTTCTCTTCTACATCTTGCTGATAGGAGTTTAAGTCTTCGTCGTAGCTGAAATTCCAATTTCAGTTGCCATTAACATGCAGTTGCGCTAGGGTTTCTTTTGATGTACTAGCTAGAAATTTTATGCAACCAGTCTTTGCAGAAGTATATTTGCTTCTAGAAAGGAAACTGTTTGGGTTTCTTTGTCTGGTATTTCCTCCTTTAGCATTACTTTTATTTTGCTCGTTCTGCACGAAATTTGCTACAAGATGATGTGTACTTGACTGGCTTATATTTGTCAATGACACAGTCACACAGGTATACAGTGGTCATACTTCAGTCCAATACAATACACCTCTGTCTTTGGTCCGTGAGGTATAGGGTCCAATGGCTTTTAGGTCATCACCAACAACATATCCAGTGAAATCTCACAAAGTGGGGTCTGGGGAGGATAGCGTGTACACAGACCTTACCACTACCTCGTGAAGTTAGAGAGGCTGTTTTCAAAAGACCCTTGGATCAAGGTTCCTTGCTACTGCTAGGGGTAAATAATTCTTCAACATAGCCACAAGTAGGTAGTCTACGACCATTAGATTCCCAGAAAGATGAGCAACTAAGAAGAGAGGGATTTAAAAAAAGTGAAAGGTATTTCGTCGATCTTTAGATTCTAAGATAAGATGAAAAACGAGAAGGTAAAGATATAGAGATCTTTCATTCTTTTAAAAGACAAATACAGTGCATTAATTTCATATCAGCATGTGTTCAAGAACTTGGTGGAATTCCTAATTCAGTAAGTCTAGGTGAATAACCGGCCATCCTTGTACACTCAAAGAGAACTAGAAATTTCTGAAAAAGGGTAACTAATAAGTATAATTCAAGTAAGTCGATAAATAAGATGGAGGAGGCCTTGAAGGAGGAGCCCAGAAAACATCATGGGGCACTCGGCCATTAGACAAAACATTAGTAAGTAAATTGTACATTTCTCTCATATGAGAAGCAACTGTTTCCTGCTTCAGGCCTCTGTTTTGTCAACATGCCTACCTGGCTATTTGCTTTAAAATGCAACATCTGGATCTTGCTAGGTTCCTCCGTTTTCTCTTCCAGGTTTTTACACTGCATTTTTTTGTTTCCTATTGTATCTTCCGTTGCCAAAGTTTCTGAAGCTTCTTTGTACTCTAGAACATCTCCAGCCTCCTCACTCTTCTTTTGCAGTTGGTTTCTTCATCACCATGCCTGTGAACTGGTTTTGTTTGCATTCTTTTGAACCAGTAACTTTTTATTCCTGAGCATGCCCTAATGTTGGCCACCTCCAAAAAATTATACTTTATAGAAACTAATTGCAGTAATCCCATGAAGTCAAGTAACTGAACTTCCTCTTCTATACATTGTTCTTTACACCAAGAACATAAAGAAGTTATGACTTTCCACTTGATCTTCTATACGGAGCTCTCTTTGCCTTCAAAAATCCTCTCATTTCTCTCCTTCCAAATGTTCCACCAAATACAGGCAGGTATTGTTTTCCACCAAATCTTCTGGCACTTGCTACCTCCCATCCTAATCCAACAACTTAAAAGATTAGCAGTATGCTCTGACATAGACCAGTTCACCTTAGCGGGCTTTAGCCAAATTGATGAATGATGCCCACCCTTGTGCTGTAACTCTTATAATGTAGGAAAAGGTGGTTGTTTGTCTCTAAAGCCTCCTTACATGATGAGCATCTTGAAGCAATGCAGATTTCCCTTTTCTGTAGTGCGTCATGAGTCCGACAAGATATTGCTCTTCTGACTACTAGCCAGGTGAAGCATTTCAACTTGATTGGTGCCACATTTTTCCATACAAACTTCCAGTCCTGTTGACCTCTCTGTTACTTCAGTCAGCCTCCTATTGTACACCCCATTTATTAAGAATAGTCCATCGTGATGGTGTTTCCATATCATGTTATCAGGTTCCATAGAATAAACCATTATTTATTATCTATTTGCATTTAAGGGTTTAAATTTGTATTTTAACTTGGTACTTGGTTTCTCTGCTGATAGTTTGGTTGACTTTCATTTTCCCAATAGTTTAGTTTGTTTCTACCGACTTCGGGGTTAAAAGGTGAAGTAGAGGAAAGAGTTGAACTTGCAGATCAATTGTTTGGCTAAAGTCTTGATCAAGCTTAGGCTTGATTGCATGGATAACTACGCATTTCTCTCCTTGATCTTCTTTCTAAATATGTGGCATGACTTTTGAAGTTTTTTTGATAAAAAATCTTGTCTGTTTAAAGTTATCTTTATTGCTTTAGATTTTCTTTATCCAAAATTTTCCGTATAATAATACTAATTTGATAAATTGTTAGGGGAAACAGGTCCAACAGTAGTAAAGAGGGTAGAACAGTGTAGTCAAAGGCGCGCTTAAGCCCTGAAGTGAGGCTCAAAACGTGTTGAGCGCTTTGCCTCGCTTTATGTGCGCTTCAGTGTCGTCATCAAGGTTTTAAGGCAAACTTTTCCTTGCCAATGAGCCTCTTCTGAAGAAGTGACACTAAACAATTAATATTTCACTTTATCATGATTTTTTTCAATTTCTTTGGTCATATGTTAGTCATTCATGTTTATAGTTATTAGTCTTGGACTAAACATATATATTTGTATTCTTTTCTCCCTTTGCGCCTTTTTTCATTGAAGCTCACACTTTATTTGTGCTCTGCGCTTAAAGTCCCAACGGACCTTAGAGCTTTTTTGCGCTTTTTGCCTTTGATAACACTGGGGTAGAACACTTGCAGCAACAAAAAGTTTGGGAGCAACAAGTTTAATATCCATGGATGCTGGACAAACAAGCTAATGCCCCAACTCTGATAAGAAATAAGCTGATAGAAATTTTAGGTGCCGTGAACTCTACCAACTTATGATAGCTAATGAAAAGCATATCCTTAATATGAAAAACTCTTGCTAGACTTCCAAAACTGGTTAACATATCAGATCTAAAATTTATTGAACTCTGGATTGAACACACTATTTCACCGTTTTACAATTACCCTTTTTCAAAAAAACACAAACTCTATTTCACCATTTTGTGCAAATGCTTATTTCTTCCTCTGCATGAATATGTCTTTTCACTTACTATTCTGAACATCTATTCTGATCATTGCCTGATCTACGCAGTTACTGAGCTTCCCTCATTTCCCGCTTTTGACATAGGAAGTCTTCATTCTATCTATGAGGAAGGTAAGTTACTGAAAGTTGTCATAACTTTAGCCAAATCTACAAAAAATCATTAATATATATTGACAAATATTTTTATGTTAGGTTCTACATCAGATGCTTGTAATAAAAACTGCAATACAGCCAAGCCGTCCATTACTAAAGGTTTGTTTTACATAGTGTTTGTATTGTTGTATCGTATATACAATGTTTATTTTGATTGTTAACTAAAATATATTATATTATATTGCTAATTCTGTCATTACGTAACAGTGAAAAGCGCCCTTTTATGTAATGACTTTATATGGTGTGATCGCGTCGTTACCTAATTTCTCTTTCAAATTATGTCCTTACTTAATATTTCATAATTCTATTTTACCCTTTAGCCTATATTATTTAACTCCACTGAAATACCCATACCCTACGTTTGCACTCTTTTTCTTTCTTCATAGTTAACTATTTTATTTGCTCAGGTTTCTGCCCTTGTTTCGAAATACAGATACTTTTTTTGTCCATAACTATATTCTTGAAGTTATTATTCTGCTTTAACTATATCTCAGTTTATGGAGAACGTTTTTTGCATTTCCTTATTTTCATCACTATATTTATTAGTATGAACTTTATCACGCGAACAATAGTATAGATGCTAAGAGAACCTGGACCATTAACAATTAATAACATGACTTGTTGGAAAACACTTACTTTGTTATAAGTTCTGGACCATACATGATATGCTTGATCCAAAAGAAAAGAATGTTTTCAAATTCTTTTTGAAAATAATTGTCTTTGAGTTGCATGTCTCTTTTTTTTGTGAAGTGAAGCTGATGCTATTCTATGTAGCATGTGCTATTGAGTAGTTAATGTTGATACAGTGTAAGCAAGGAAGTCGGCAAAAAAATTAGCAGAAATACAATGTCTTAGTTGTTTTTCCAAATTGGTGATAAATTTAATGCATACAATAGTTTAGGGTATTGTAGTAAACTTACCTGTTACAATACAACACGATACAATCAAACAAAACGTGAAAAATATTATTAAACAACAACAAACGGTACAATTTATCCAAACGTTGTATCTACAATATAATACAATTAATTGTGATATGATGGGCTACAATAATACAAACAGAGTGAATAGTCTCATGTTTAATTCATACCAGTATGTGTTCTCATTCTTTAACTCCTTGCACCTTTTAGAGTGTCCAGGTCACCGGCAAAATAAAAGAACTGCTCTGAATATTGAACTAGGCTCAAACTATGTACCATTTTAAAGGATTTGAATTGTAAATTTTGTTGTGCAAAATGATTTGAATATGAGCCTCTTGGATTTTGTTGTGCCAAATATAGTGTACTATTTATCAACCATTACAGTTCAGTAACTTCTTCTCGGATCACAACCTTGACTCCACGTAAACTGAATGACTTTGAGAACCGTCCTTGGTCACTTCATATATCCGTCAGCATTTTGTCTCTTTATATCACTGCTTATTTTACTGGCAACATTTTCCTCCATTAGACTTAATCTACATATATAATTATTAACCAACTGATTTATCTTCTTCCCTTCAGAATTCTGAAAGAGTGACCATTGGATCTACCATAAGCTAAACTATAGTTCCCCTGACAGCACAACTATTGTTGAACAAGCGATATTTCATCAACGAGCTCTTAGACGTTGGCACAACCGCTTGTTCAGCAATGATCTGCTGCCAAGTGAACTTTGGTTTACACCGGCTCCAAACTTCTGTTAAGGTATGTGAGCCTGTTCTGCTTATTCTGATATTCTTTCTACTTGTACACGACGTATAATAAGTGAAACTTGATGTTACAACCAAGGTCAATATTGGTATTTCCTTTTGACAATATTTTTCTTTGCTTATTTCAGTTGTTCATGTCATCGGCTACCACAGAGTTTTTATTCCACTGATATGCCTTTCATGCCTGCTAC